GGGAGAGAAAACCATGAGTGAGTCACCCCGGTTACAACACACCCAGTTACCAGCAGGTCTGAGAGGACCTGAGGATTTCCAAATTCTGGGTAGTGACTCAGTAACTCATGCATTTCGTAGAGCAAAAGCCCAGGGTTGCAGAAAGCCAGGCAGGGGCAGGAAGGCTGTCCCCAAAGACATTCACAATTTCCTGGTGCTGAGATTCAGAAAAGGAGCTAAAACAAAGTATTAAAGAAGTGATAAGAGAGACCCTTTCCTGGATCCCCTTCTCTCTGGTGACCTAACCCCATATCCCCACCCCCGGATGGAGGAGAGAGTTTAGGATCAAATGCCCGCTGCCTTTGATAGTGTCTGGGAGTGGGGCAGGAATTGAAGCCCCCTGGGTGCTTTGTTTTCTTACATTGGTAAAATTGAGCTTCCATGAAAGTTAATGACATCATGTTTTATAAGATGCTTAGCACAATTTCTAAAACATAATACATCTGTGGTCAATGTGCATGTCTGTCAAAAAATAAGCTGGGAGGTTAAGAGCATGGCCTCTGGAGCCAGATTGCCCGGGTTCAAATGCTGACTTTGCTACTTCTTAAGGAAGTTACTTCTTAAGGAAGCAACTTCTCAGGACCTCAGCTTCCCCATTTGTGAACTTACAATGTCTACTTTATACCATCTATAGTGATGATGAAATGAATTAATATCAAGCATACCAAACAGTTCCTGGTATGGAGTAGGCAGTATGCACTTATTAAGGAAGTAAATGAACCCCATTGGATGGGATTCAGTCTACCCATTTTGCAGGTGAGGAAACCGAGGCCCAGAGATGTGTGCGGTGGCTGTGTCTAAGATTGTACCTCTAGGAGTGACAGATGTAGGGATTCGAATCTGCTTTCCTTCTCAGCCTGTGTTCTTTCCCCCATGCCACTCTGCTGGGGTGACCAAGAGGGACATCTTTCGGAACATTCCTTGTGACCGTGGAGACATGCACGGACTTGTTTGACCAGGTTCCCCTTGTCTTGGATAGAAGAGAGGCCAATGCCATGCCTAGATGTTGTAGGAACTTGCCCTTGCAAGGATGTGGAGGGGAGAACCCCAGTGGAGGCTGGGGAGGGGGGTCCTGGAGAGGCCAGGGGGCCCAGCATCAGCTGGGCCATATTGCCCCTGCATCAGATGGGCCATATCCTTTGTTGCTTTGCTTCCAGCCAAGTCATTCTGCTCCTCTGAGCCGGAGGCAGAGTGAAGGGCACAGGCTTAAAGACAGGGGGCTCAGGTTCAAATGTGAGCTTGCCGCTCTTCCTTTGTGTGGGATCTGGGGGAAGTTGCTTAACCTCTCTGAGCTTCAATTTGCTTGTCAGTAAACTGGGTGTTTGGTGAGGGGCGGTATTCGTGAGATGATTTTTGGAGGTACCTTGCCCCTGGCTCCGAGATCGCGGATTCTGTCCCCATTTAGGACGGTCACTTCTTCACATCAGCGCTTGCCTTCCTCATTCCTTTCTTCTTTGGATATTTGTTGGGCACTCGTGTGCCAGACACCGTGTCAGGGGCTCCTGATAGAGCACTGGACAAAGTCCTTGCCCTCCTGGAGTTTGACTTCCAGTTGTGAAGACAGGCAGTACACAGACATGTCCAGATTCATCCCAACCCTGTATCTATAATTTGAAATCTACAAGCTCTGAAAACCGGAAGTGTTTCCTTCACTCACTTGGAAGCCAGACCCGCCATGAACTAAACATGAGGCTCTTTGGAATCTGTCTTTGTTTTCCTTGAAATGAATGCTTGTGTGTCCCGTGGCAGAGATATTAATGTGATTGATCACCGAATGCTCCTGGGGCCCCATGGCAGGCAGGGGTGGTTATTTTTATTTTATGACCTTTCTCGAATCTGAGTCATTCTGAATTTGGAAACACTCCAGGCTCCCAGGGTCTCACACAGGAGAATGTGGACCTGCAGTATCCTGTCACGTGATGACAGTGCTAGGAAGAAAAGGCAGAGAGGACGGAGTCGGGGGAGCCTCTCTGAGGAGGGACATTTAGAAGGACAGGGGCAGAGGCCTGCAAGAATGGGGCAGGTGGAAGGAACCACAGAGGATGCTAGGAAAGGTCTTGTCCACCCCACCAATCCCACTTCCGGGCCTGCTGTTTGCCCCCACTCGGCGTGCACAGTTCTGTCTAAAAGCACACATCTTTGTCTTTCCAAGAAGTGGTGATGCCTCTGAGGTTTCGGGTTTGCCTCCAACTGACTCATTCTCATTCTTGGGGCCCCCTTGCGCCTCCTCATCTCCTCAGTGTTGCTTAAGAAGTCCAAGGTCTTCACCAAAGAAGACTCACTAGGGATGATCACTAACTGGACTGGCATCTGAGTCCCCCCTCCTCCTCGCTCCAAGGAGGGAGAGAGAGGAAGTGGGTCCTAATGAGGGAAGAGATGCTTGGCCCTCAAGGGGTTGGTGGAACAGATTTCCTGAAGGTGAGAAGTTGTTGTTCTGAGCAGCAGGTTTGTAAAGGGGCTGATAGCCTCCGGCTTGCAGAGCCAGTTTGTAAAGCTACAAGTGACAGGCACGCACATGTCTTGAGTTCTAGTGCCGGGCTTGATGCTTGTACTCCACTTGGCAAACGTGCAAGGGGCTGGGGACATAGCAGTGACTGACACAGAAGCAAAGGCCCTTGTGGAGCTGGCCGTCTGGTGGAGGAGGTGACTACTGAGCTAAGACTGGAAATAAAAAGACAATGTAGGTATCTGGGGAAAGAGAGATCCCGGCAGAGGGAACAGCAAGTGCAAAGGCCCTGAGGTATGATTGACTCACAACAAGGAAGCTGATGTGGGGGGATGGGACTGAAGCAAAATGAAGAGGGGTGGGAAGAGAGGTTGGGAAGGTCAGTAGGAGCCAGAGACCCACGTTGTCTCGTTTAACTTGTAGAATAACCCTGTGAGGTAGGAACTGCCCTTGTCCAGATTTTACACATAAAGAAATAGACACAGAAGGTTTAGTGACTTGTCCAGGGTCACACAGTTGCAAACCTGGCAGATCCGGGGTCCTCAGTCTTTACCACTGTGTTTCAGTGCAAAGGTTCATCCTGTCCCTTAATCCACTGTTGGCGCTCACCTGTGGTTCAGTCTGCTTGGCAACCCTGTGCGTGTGGTCAGGCCAGGATCGGCGTCACAGGTGATCCGATCATTGTACGAATCATTTTACAGATCATTTGATTGATGAGCGGCTTCCAAAGCGTCACAGACAGCGAGGACACCCTAAAGCAGGGCAGGTGTGGCAGGGATGAGGAGAGCGGAGGCCTGACGCCACATCAGGCACTGTGCTGCGTGGAGGCAGGTAGATACGTGGGTGCCTCCCTGTTTCCCTGAGGAGGAAACTGAAGCTCAGGGAGCAGACTTACCCAGTGATGCAGCTCGGAAGTGGCAGAGTCTGGTTTCAAATCCAGGGCAGCTGAACTGGAAACCTATGCATTTAACCACTGTGCTGAGCCATCCAGCCCAAGGAGTAGGGTTTAAAAGAACCAGACTTCTTGGTTAGAAATAAGGGAACACAGCCACCAAGAACCATTTTGGAGAACTGCAGAAGTCCTGAGGGTTTCCTGAAGTAGCCGGGAAGGTGTCCTGTCTTTTCAAAAGAGGAAATGGAACTTCTCTGTAGAGGAGAGATGCCAGGTCTCTGTGGGGGCAGCCCTCCAAGGCCACAGAGCCTCAGCCTCCCAACAGACTTGCTTCTGAGGATGGAGAATAGACCTTCTAGAAGCCAGATTGGACATCTCTAACTGGGAGACGATCTTTCCTGGGATTTAGCCTTATTAGCTTTCCAGGAGTTTTCACTTTCTGGCTTTGTTTGTGCCCCTTCGAGGTAATAGCCATCTCCTTCCAACCCCAGCCCAAGAGTTCTGTTATTCAGACTACACAGCCGTAATTCATTCAGTCTCTTCCTGACGCAGAGAACTATAAACAGTTCAATCTGGCTTTGGACATGATCCAATTGGTCAGAGTCCCACATAAAAAACATTGCCTTCCCTAAAGTCTACCCAGTCAGAGAGGAAGGAGACTGTCACCTCCTTGGATCTGGAGCCCATATCTCTGTTGATACAACCTGCAATCATACTTTGTAGTGGCTATATCCGACTTGGGGCTTATATTGGACTTGTCATCTAAAACCTCCAGGTCGCTCTTCTACATGAGCGCTGTCAAAGTTTCTTCCATTCTGAGATTCCTTGTTTGAGGATAACAATTGTTCTCAGTCTTTCTCATGTTCTAATAAATCTACTCTGGGCTATAACTTTTTTTTTCTGAGTACTGCTATGGCTTTATTCCACAGGTCTTGTTACACAATGTCATTCAGTACTAAAACAGTTTATCATTTACTTTTTGATTAAAAGCATTATGTGCCTTATAATTTTTTAAGGTGGATGGAATTTTTAAAGTTATCTTTTTATTGTTGATTTCTAAAATTATGGTCAATATTTGTATCTTCTCTGATACCAGTGATGGGGAATTTGTTGAGATCTTCTTTGTAGGACTTTCTGGTCAGTTTTTCTGTCTGTTGCTCTCATATTTGAAAGAATGTGTATTTCTATTTGGGTGTAAAGTTCTAGAAATATATGTATTAGATCACCCTTACTAATTATAGCATTTATGTTGTCTATGTTTTTATGTAGTTTTCTCTACCCGATTCATCTCCTACTATGATAGGGGATCTGTTTATTTCTCCTGCTATATTGTTAGGTGCATATAAATAGAATATATGAATAGAAGAGAGTTCATGACTTTTGTCATTTCTTGGTGAGTTGCTCCTTTTATCAGTATAAAACAGCTCTCTTTCTTTTAATACTTGGATGCCTTGAATTCTGTTTTATTTGGTATTAATATTCCTTTACCTATTATCTTTTTCTTAAACTGTTAGGAAAATGTTTGTAGTTTTATCCTGAGGCATTGAAACATCTGAACAAATCAGTATCTGGGCAGTGAGGTGGCTGCTTTCCCCTTCACTTCTGAAGGTTACTAGAGCAACTTAAAAATATGGACACTTCACGAATTTGCGTGTCATCCTTGTGTAGGGGCCACACTAATCTTCTCTGTGTCGTTCCAATTTTAGTATACGTGCTCTGAAGTGAGCACCCTATTGTCTTTATTTACATTTTTCTTGGCTACTTTTCTGATTTTTTCTTTTCTTTTCTTCCTCTCTAAAGTTTTAGGACTTTTCTTTGATCCTCATCTGGTGGCCAAATGAGTTTTAAAAAATAAAATAAAATAAAACGTGCATGTTGCTCTCAGCGCTGCAACCCACTTGCTCAGTAATCAAGCCATTTTCCCTATTTGGGCCTCAGTTTCCTCATCCATAAAATGATGCTGTGACTCACTTGGCCTTTCTCCAGGGTTTTGGTGAAAATAATGACAAATAGAGAATGTGAAAGGCATTGCAAACATCCCTATTCACACGTTAGTCATGGGGTGTAAATATTGACCTGCCGATAGCGAGAATGGTGTGTACCAATGGCCTGGAGGGAGGGCCACACCTGCGATAAGGCAGCCACAACTTGGGTTTCTCCAGCATCACTTGGCTGCCTCCTGTGTTCACAAAGAGACGTGAGTAATATGTCATCCTTGGCCTGGAGGACTTTTTTGTCCGGAAAGGGAGAGAAATGACAGGCACAGCTCACTGTTTATGAGAATGGAAGGGATGTTGGCACAGAGGGGCAAGCCGAGCTGTGAGATGGGTGGAGGAAAGAGTAGGCTTTGACGAGGAACATCCAGAGAGGATGGCATAGGAGGAGGGCACAAAGAAGGAGAGGAAACGGCCCAAGGGAATTGGGGAGTCTGTGGCACATCTTGGGGGAGCAGGGCTGGGAGAGTGTAAAGACTGCTGTTTGACCCCCTCGTCTGCCCCGACCGAGTAGGAAGGCAACAGGGCTTGCAGAATTTTGGAATCCTCACTGACAAAACGGTGCTATTCAGCCGCACCAAAGCAGGCAGTGATGGCCTGTCTGCAGCCCCGCTCCCTCTCATCACCATAACAACCGCATTCCACAGGGACAGAAGGATGGGAACGTTTGGGAGTGCTGGAGCTTAGGGAGCTCACGGAAGGTGTGGGGTCTCATCTGTTGCTCCTTTCCTCTTGTTGGGGGTCTCCTGGGATCTCAAGACATCTACCCACTCAGGAGGATGCCAGCTGTGGTTGTAAACCAAAGAGGGACCACAAATGTGGGGTGTCGATTTTAAAAATTGAACATTCAGAAACCAGGGTAATATACATAGAAATTTTGATTTCTAGCTTCTTTTGAAAAAGACCTAGCAACTCCTCGGTCTTCATTTCCATGGTGAAAAGCAGAGTGGTGGCTGCCTGTTAGGACCAGTCAGGTGCTCACCACCTGTCCCTTCTTCACTCACCGAGGTCATGTGTTCTCTGAGATGTTGAGTTGTCTCTGGGAGAGGTGGCTGGGAGCTAGGAGCTGCTCCAGAGGCAGTGAGTGCCCTGGAGGCACTAGAGGGCTGAGGGCCCTGTGCAAAGGCCTAGGGGGACCTGAAGTATTATTGGGAGTGGAGTCCAGGGTCTTTGGGGATCCACCAGCACTGAGGCTTGACTGTTCTGGAACCTTTGCTATCATACCCGGAGGGCCTCACGCACCCTCTGCTCTAGTCCCTTCCCCCTCATCCTGATACACGTGCAGACAAGTGTCCGGCTTCATGCATTTTCACGAAGTAAACACACGTGTGTATAACCTGATCAAGAAACCAAACATGATCAGCGCCCGAGGAGATTCTGTCCCACCCACCCCTCCCTCAGGACACTTTCCTCACCACTGACCCCAAGATTGCTTTGTCCCCTTTTGAACTTCATGTAAATGGAGTCAGTATTGCCCTTTTGAGCCCAGCTTCCTTGGCACAGCTGGTACCTGTGAGACCCGTCTGTGCTGTCATGAAGGCCGCCATGTGCTTGGGGGGTCTCAGAGCTGTTACTTGACACTTGGAGACAAGGTTTTGCCACCTGCTCCATCAACACTGCCCCAGGCCTCTTCCACCCAGCCATGGTCTCTTTGCCTCCTCTCAACCACCCCAAGATGCACATGATAAATAGACTGAGGTTCTGAGAGGACCCCAGCTTGTTAACATCTCCCAGCCAATCAGTGCAGAGCCTGCACACTTAGGCCCCGTGTCTTAGAGCCTCTGGGGTCCCTGTCCCCCATGAATGGCCCCACACATCTGTGTCCCAGCCCATGCCAGGAAGGATAAGGGGTAAGACAACAGAAAGGACTTAAGGGAGAGCCCCACCCACCTGTCTGCACGCAGAACATGAAGAGGGTGCTCTTATCTGTGCTAATGTGCTGCTGCTTTGGGTTTGCCCAGAGGGCAAAGTCCTTGGTCACTGCTGAGACATGCTCACTGCGAGGGCTGGGCAAACAGCGATGTTAGCCAAATTCTAGCTCATCACTTCCTGCTTTGTCACCCTGGGACTATTGCTGTATCCCCCTGAGCCTCAGTTTCCTCCTCTGTGCAGGGAATGTTTGCCCATATCTTCCCCACGGGGCTTGCTAGAAGGAGCAAACAGAGAGGTGTATAAAAGGAGTGAGAGAGCTTGTGGCTACTTCCTCCATGCCAGGTGCTGTATCACAGATTTCAGAGCCAAAAAGTCTGGGTTCAATTCCCAGGCCCACCGCTGACTAGCTGTGCATCCTCAGGCAGGTTCCTGGAACTCTCTGACTCAGTTTCCCCAGGTCTACAAAGGGAATGATGATAGTTGCACCCTCCATGTTCCTTGGGTGGGGAAATGGTGGGCCCCATGGGCAGAAGGACCCAGAGCATGGTCTCTTAAGACTCAAGGAACTGGGGACATGCAGGGTCACTCATGGTGACTTCTACAGACCTCTGGAGAAAGAGGTGTCCTGGGAGCCGTGACTGTCACTAAGACAGCCAAAATCTAATCAGCGTCCTGGGGCCAGATGCCCTGCATCTCAGGGCAATGAGTAATAATCATGGTAATGTCCCAATTAACAGCTCTCTGGAGGCTAGCTCTCCCTGCCCCTCTGGGGTGGCTGAGATCTGTGTGGTCCTGCATCAGGGTATTTAAGGAGACTCTTAGCCAGAATTCGTCAGTGTTTATCCAGCAGTGAGAGGTGGAAAATGCCAACTCTAGGAGCTGTATCCCTGCCTCCACCAGCAATGGCTGGCCAGACCTCCCTGCGCACAGCAGGGAGGATTTGTTCATTTGGTTTTCCATTCAGCAAATATCTGTGGACCCCGTAATGTGTGCCAGGCACCGTGCTAGACTGCAGGGCTATAGCAGCGAACAGGGTGGGCACCACCCCTGGCCTTGTAGGAGCTGGCGTTCAGTAGGGATTTGGACAGCGCACAGGACACGTGCTTGTGTGACAGGCAGCGAGGAGTAAGTGCTGGGCAGAGAAATGAAGCAGGAGAAGGGCTTGCAGAGTGATGGAGGCTGGTCGCTGCTCCCAAGCAGGGGCGTCTGCACGTGGGTCCCTGAGGTTCAGCCTCCTACCTAGGGCCACTGATACCTTCTGAGGGTGGGCATGGCTTCCAGGATCCTAGATTGAGTCACCTGGATGCCTCCCCAAGGGGATGTCCCCTGAAGGAGGTCTGTGGTCTCCAGCCCTCTCCTGTCCCTCAGACAAGACTGTGTCTCACTCTGCACAGCTCCCCTGGGCTTCAGCCACAGCTGATAACCTGCAAACCTATCTCCAGTGCAAGCTTTCCTTCCTTCCAGACCGCTAGGGCGTACTGCCTCCTGGATGCCTTTCGGGGCCCATGGCCCAGTTGGACTCACCAAGTCCACAGCCAGCAAAGTGCATGGTCTTCCCCAGCAAGCCCGCTCCTTGTCCCAGCACCCCCCACCATCCAGCCACCCATGCCCCAGCCCAAGGCCACTTCCCTGCTCCCAGCCCGCAGTCATCACCTAGTTCTGCCACATCTGCCTCCCAAACAGAGCTGGAATCTGCCTCCTCTTCTGCGACTCCAGCTGCACCCCCTCCTCTCTCAGCCACCTCTGTGTTCCCCCTACGATCGTTCTCCACACACAGCTCATTGTGGGCTTTCTGGAAAGTGGCTCCTCTCCTGCTTAATAGCCTTCAGTGGCTCCCTACTGCCCTGGGGACGAAGTCTGAATTGCTTACCACTCCTGGTGGACAGTGTTGGCCTCTGGCCCTGCTGACTACACTGTTCTCATCCCCTGTAACTCCTACCGTTGCTGCAGCCACGGGCCCATCTTGTGAGTGGGAAATGGGCCACGCCCTCCCTCTCTTCAGATCCTTCAGAATCTGTAAAATGGGTTTAATAATTGTACTCATCTCACAGGGGGCCTTAAAACATCCAGAACAGAGCCAGGCACTAAGGAAGCACTGTGTAAGTGTAAAAATCAGAACAGGGTGAAAGACACATGATAGTTTATTGAGTAATTGCTCTGCACCGGGTGCTGGGCTGGGTGTTCTGGTCACAGAGGACGAAACACGTTTCCTGCCCTCACAGAGCCCACTGTGCCTTCTGGGGACATTCTTCCTAACTCTCCAGTTGCTGCTGCCCCTCCCTCAGAGAATTCTTGTTCACCACCCCCACCCCCGCCGACCCTCTGGGACCCCTCCTCGCTGACACAGCCTCCTGCGTACCTGACGATGCCTCTTCTCATGCTGGTTCTTGCCACGGTCCACTCCGTCGTGGTAAATGGCAGCCCCATCCTGTCAGTGGCTCCAGCCAAAAGCCTCAGAGTCCTTCTTAACCCAGACCAGTCCTCTTTTCTCTGACCCCACCCCCATCCTCAAACTCCATTCTGTCAGCCAAGCCTGTTGGCTCTACCTTCAGAACAGATCTAGACTCCAACCTGTTCTTACTGTTTCTTCCCTGCAATCCTGGTGTGCCTGGCGCCTGGTGCCTGGACTAGTCCAGTGGCCTCCTCACTGGTCCTTGCTTCTGCCCTTGACCCCACAGGCCAGAGCGACCTTTTGAAGTCTCACCTCTGTGCCCAAAATCCTCCACTAACTTTTCTTCTCACTCAAATATTTGTTGAAGGAAAGATGGAAGAAAGGAATGAATGAGTGAATGGCCTTTTTCGCATCTATAGTAGCTGGCACATAGTGGGTGCTCAGAAAACACCTGCAAGAATACATGGGGCAGGAATGAAGAGCAGGAACACACAGTAGGTGCACAGGGTGCCTGGTGGGCTCTTTGGCTGAGGTTGCTCATTCTTGCTCCTGGTGGTGGCAGAACCCACTGGCTGCCTGCCCCCCACCCCCACTCCCTGGGCTGGGGGTGGGGGGCGGGCAGGCATAGCCCAGGCCATCTTGGGGCCCTGGGCTGGCCCGCCTCATTGTCCTGGGTGGGGCTGCCGACGTGACTGCTGCTTCTGAGAACCTTAGCTGGGCAGCAGTTCTGGGAAGGCTGCTGCCCCGGGGAGAAGTGTGTCCTGGCCCCCAGCCAGCCCAGCGCAGCTGTCCCAGAGTCTGGAGGAAGCTTCAGGCTGGCTGAAGATTGTGGGCTTGAGATTGAGAAGTTTCAGGGGTCAGTGGCTCCGGGGGAGGTCACCCAAAGCCCCTGCTGTCCCCGGCTTCCTCTCCACATGCCTCTTGTCACGGGACTGGCTGCATCCTGTCTGCTGATCCAACCCCCACCCCCACCCCCACCCCCTCCCAGTCGGGTTGCAGCCAAGAGAGGGAAGAGGAACAGGAGGCCTGTACACCCTGCTGGGCTCCGGAAGAGAGCCCTGCTTGGTGGCTTCTGTGCCGCTACTGGATTCTGACATTTCAAGACTTGCCACTCATGTCCCCCCAGATGAAAAGAGTGAGTTAAGCGTGTTTCCCTGCCGGCACGGGCGTTTTCCCACTCGGGGTGTTTCTGTTCTCTTCCTGGCTCAGGCTTTCAACCACGCTGTCACTTCCTAACTCCATGACCTTTGCCTTGTCACTTGCCCTCTCTAAGCCTCAACTTTCTTCTTTGGCCAGTGGGACTTATAACACATGCCAGGGCTGCAGGGACTGCATTTCAAGAGGCAGTGGTTAGGTGTATGGATTCTGGAGTGAGCCTGCCTGATTCAAATCCTAGCTCTGTGACCACAAGCAAGTGCTCTAACCTCTCTGTGCCTCTATCTCCTCATCGTTTAAAATGGAGACTTTAATGGCACCTACTTTATAAAGTTGTGAGAACCGAATCATGCCAGGCACATAATAAGCACTATATATGCATAGCAATTATTATGGGTAAAGGCTTGGCACATACTTCATGTTTAAAACCAGATTATTGTATTCATTAATTGAATTTTAACCAGTCCTTCACTGAATTGCTGTTTCATGAGCACATATTGTGTACGTGTCAGGCACTGTTTAGGCACAGGGGACGAAGCAATGAACACAGCTATTCTTCTTAAAGAGATGTTTGTCTTATTGATTTGTAAGACCTCTTTATGTATTAAGGCCCTTAACCTTCTGTAATGTACATTGCTACTTTCTTCTAGTCTTTCGCTTGCTTGCTTCTTCTTCTTTTTTTTAATGGCATGTTTTGATCTGGGGAAGTTGAAAACAGTTTTGCAGTCACATCTTTCTATCTTCGCCATCTACATCTTGAAATAAAATAAGCACTCACAAGTATAACCTCAGTGATATGATTCGAGATGGTGATAAGTATATGACAGAAATAAACAGGGTACTGTAATAAGAAGTAACGGGGGAGCCCTCATTGGATGGTGTTTCCAGGTATAAAGGCTGTGAGGGAGGAGAGGGACAGGGTTGTGTCAGAGCGCCCAGAAGGCCAGGCCAGTGGGAGGGAGCAGGGATAGGAGGGGACCGTAACTGGGTCACAGGGGCCAGATCATCAGGGGGCTTCAACGGTTTGGGGTTTTTTTTGTTGTTGCTGTATTTTCTTAAACTTTTAATTTTGTGGGAATTGTAGACTCACACGCAGTTGTAGGAAGTAATACAGAGAGATGCCCTATACTCTGTTTCCCCCAAGGGTAACATCTTACCACACTATAGTTCAGTATCACAACCAAGATATTGACATTGATGGAACCCACTGACCTTGCTCAGTTTGCCTGTTATACTTGTACTCATTTGCGTGTGTATGCCTGCATGCTATTTCTTTTAGTCTTGCTAGTCTGGTATTTATTAGTTTAATTTTATCACGTGCACAGTTTTTGTCTCCACCACCGCAGTGAGATACAGAACAGTGCTGTCACTGCAAGGATCCCCATGTTGCCCTTTTATAGCCACACCTCCCTCCCTGCCTGCCCCCCTTAGCCCCCACAACCACTAATCTGTTCACCACTTCTATAATTTGGTCATTTCAAGAATGTTACATAAATGGAATCACCCAGTGAATGCCCTTTTGGATTGGCTGTTTTCATTCTGGGACTTGGATGTGATTCTGAGTCAGAGAGGCTGCCCTTGGATGGGCTGTGAACCCCTGGGGATCCGTGATCCCGGGGGAACACATCTTTCAGGAGCCAGAGGCCAGTGAAGTGAGTAGGCAGTTTGTGGCCTGGTTTCCAATTTAAAATGACTCCGGCTCAGCGTGGAGAAGAGATGGGTGTCACGTGTTTGCAGCAACCTCTAATGGCCCCCGTCTCCCACGCTCTTCCCCGTTGCATCATTCTCCCCAGCCCTGGACTGGAGAAATCTTGCTACAACTCAGTTCAAAGACCCTGAAAAATCTGCTCATTGCTGAGAGGGGCTGGCCTTTGACCTGGAGTCCTTACTTGGGCTTCAGGGCATCTTTGAGCCGTTAAAATGGAATGCAAAATTAAATGTGTGCACTTATCTAGAAAGAGGGCTTGGAGTTTGCATCAGACGTTCAGATGGGTCAGTGACCTCCAGAACACTGAGGACTCTGGCGTCTAAACACAGATAGTAGTTAAGAGCCTGACTGCCCCTGTTCAAATCCCAAGACTGTCACCTCTCTGTAACCTCAGACAGGTCACGTAAACTTTTCTGAGCCTTGATTTCCTTGTATGAAAATGAGAAAAATAATAGTGCCTACTTCATAGGGCTGTCTAAAATGTTGAATTAATATGTGTAAGATGTTTAGAAGGAAATTTGGCATGTTTAAATATTGTGGTAAATATTGAATGTTAAGCATATGATGAGGTCACAGGAAGTTAGAGGCAGAGCCTTTTAGGGAGACTGTCTAGGCCCTCTGGGACTTTTGGATCCTCTCTGTGTCAGTTGTCATCCTCTTGACAAGCTTCAAATCAGCAGGATTTCTTCCAAAGGGATGCACAGTTACAATTGGGAACTATCACCTCCCTTGTCTGGGCTCTCATATCTCTGTTAATATGGCCTTAGCTGGAAGAGTATTGAATTAATATGTAAAATGTTTAGAAGGAAGCAGGATGACCAACTCTTCCCGACTCATTTCATTTCATCTTGTTGGATTCAGTCTGTGGTTCTAGGAGAAGTTGAAGGAATTGATATATTGGAATGTACTTTGGGCTCAGAAACCAACAGACCTGGATTCTGACTCTAGCCCTGCCCTCTTGCCAGCTGTGGGACCTGATGGGCAAGTTATTTGACCTTGCTGGCCTCAGTTCCCTCAGGAGGAAGGTGGGAGCAATGACACATTTTGCAGGGTTTTTGGGCAGTCAGTAAGGTAATAATTCTAATGCACTTGGCAAAGTGTCCAGTACAATGAGTACTTGACAAGCAGGATTTTGTTTACACAAATGCTTGGGTCAGTGTAAGGAAGCTGTTTGCAATAGTCAAGCATTGCCCAAAAATAACTGGGGGGGCGAGTGCCCCATCCATGGAGGTGTACAAGCAGAAACTGGACAGCAACACATCAGAGATGGAATATTGTCAGGGCGCCCCATCCAAGTTGGGGCAAGGTAGGAGGGCCCTGAGACCCTCCCAACCCTAACACGTCAGGAATGCCACGATAAGGGTATGAACTTGAAATTATTTTCTCTTGCTGTGTGCCTTACCCTGACCGCTTGGTAATTATTCTTTTTAAATTCCTTTACTTCTCTGCCTTTGTCTTCCATTCCCTGTGATGTTCAGAGAGGCTTTGCCATTGCATCTGTGCCATGGTGTCCCCTGAGATGCAGCAACCGCACGTAGTCCCTGTGAAGTCAGTGGCATGCGTGAGTGGGTGTGCGTGTGAACGTGTGTACATCTGGATGTGCCCTGCAAAACAGATAACACCCTGGCCACCATATATGTGAGGGTTAGTCCACCCTAAGGGGGTTGCTGCACTCCCCCATTGGAGGACTTCACAATGGTAGCCCTTCTGCTGTGTGTCCTTGGACACACATCTTGGCCTCTCTGTTTCTCTTTACTTAGAATTGGGGCTGGAGTAACACCTTTGCCATCTCTGCCACAGGATGCTGTGTGGGCCTCTGTGAACTCATGAGAGGGAAGATTATTGGGACTTGGCAGAGGAAACCAGCATCAAGGACCCACCGCCCCATTCCCACCCCCTCCTTCCTTGGTCTTCACTGCGGCTCTGCCAGGAAGGCGAGTTGGGGCTTCAAGCAGATACCAAGCCTCCCCCCAGGGAGAGCTTTCCAGCCCCGTGCTGAGCCCATCAGCAGCCCCGCACCAGATTCAAAATGAATTTATCCAACAAACATTTCCTGACCACGTGCTACTTGCCAGGCATTGTCAGAGGTACTAGGAGCTTGGCCGTGAGCAAGACAAACGCAGGCTCTCGGGATGACAGACACACAACTGAAAGGAGAGGGGGCTCCCACTCTCCTTGCCTTTGGCCCCCAGGGCACTTTTTGAAGAGTACAGGCCACTTCCTGTGTAGACTGCCCCTTGGTGTCAGCTTGTCTGATGTTACCACGTGGTTTGTGCACTTGGGGCAGGAATCTCAGGGAAGGGATGTTGTGTTCTTCTAAGGGCATCGTTTTCAAAAATGCTCACAAACCTTGCTTTGTCTCACTCCTAGAATGATAACACTGACCATTTGGTTAAAGGGGTGTCTGCCAGGCTTCTTTAAGTAAGGTTCCATACAGTTATACATCGGAAGTATTGTATGTAGAATACATAGAGTTATAAAGTTAATAAGTATTTCAACTCATTAATTAATAATGAGTTTGGGGGAGATACTTAGAGTCTGTTGTGGTGAAATAGAGCTGTCCCTCCCCCCACTTACTCATCTCTGTCACCGTCGATTCCTGCACCCCTATTTTAACTCCAAGGCTTATGGTTGGTTACTGTACTGTTCGTTGTGACACTCCAAATGCTCATTTTGGCCCGTGGGCGTCTGTTCAGGCAGGCTCCTGTGTCTTTTCTGGACGTGCCTATCTTTCTCGGAGGACTTCCTTACTTTCTGGCACAAGAATTCCAGACTTCTCTTGTTCTTTCCCTGCTCCTGGAGTCAGCCATTTCTCCAGGGAACCCTGTCAGGGCAGAAGAGTAAGCAGAAGCCAAGATCTGGGCATCGGGATGGCATGATAATCAGACACATGATTCTAGGCTGGATCCTGGACTGCGAAGGGGCATTGTTGAGGCAATTAGCGAAATGAAAATAGGGTCTGTGGATGAGATGGCGGTAGCGCATCCGTGTGAATTTCCTGATTTTGCTGGTTGTCATGTAGTTACGTTGGAGAATGTCCTTGTTTTTCTAAACACTGGAGTACCTAGGGGGTAATTTATTCATGCTGAATAAATGAATAAATAAAGGGAATAAATGGGAGAGACAGAATGAGAGAGAGAGAATGTGAAAGAAAAGGACAGCGAGAGGAAAGGCATGGAGGTGAGGGTGAGTTTGAGTGAGAGCAGCAGGAAGTGAAGGCGTGCAGGGGGCAGGAGCGCGTGCACAGGTGTGCACAGGTGCGCCGTGCGCAGCTGCGGAGAGGGAGGCGGGGCCCAGCCACTGGTTGGATTTCAAGTGGGATTTTCAAGTCCCTGGAGAGCTCTCAGCAGGGGCTCGGGGTTTCTGACTTGGCATTACCTTGCTGTGCTACAGACGTTGTGCAACGTGCTTCAGGTGCACACCTCACTTCCTCTGTGCAGCACACCTGTGAGGTTGATCTTGAGATCTTATGCGTTGCAGAAAAAGGAGCCCAAACTCTGAAAGGTAGAGAAACTCTCTTAACGGAGGATAACTATGAAGTAGCAGGAGGGGGTCTGGAAGCTTTGTTTTCTGAATTATGACCCCAAGATAGAGACCCAAGCGGGGCAGGGGTGGGGGGCAGGTACGCTCAGCCGTGCCAATACCCCAGCGCATTGTTTTCAAGAGGGCATTTGGCATTAAGTGCCAGGAGTATGGGGGGGGGACACCTGCACGCTCCGTGACCCCATGGGATCCTGTGTCTGAGCATTTTTCTTAGTGATAATAACAGCTGACATTACTTGAACCATGACTGTGTTCGGGTCCCTATATGAAGACTCTGCGTGTGTTAGCTTATTTCATCCTTACAACACCCACTTGACAGACTAGGAAATGGAGGCACAGGGGTGGGTGTTAAGCAGCTTGCTGAAGGTTCACAAGTTAGTGACTGAGCAGGTGCTTACAGTTAAGGAAATAATCAGAGGAATGTATGTCGATGGTTCTCCAAGGAAGGGCATGCGAACCATGCTGTTTATAATAATCAAGTAATAAAAATGATAAGGTCTAATATCCAGTGTTGGACACACAATGGAATACTACTGATTGGCTGCTTTGGATCTAAATTTAGCTGCATGGAATGATGTTAATGACATAGTAAGTTCAAAGTCCAAGTTTTAGTGTGTTAGAGAGTGCTGGTTTTTCGGTAAATGAAATTCATATGTATTTCCCAATTTTTATAGAACAAATCGGGAAGAGTAGATTTCAGCATGCAAGGGGTTCTTGCTGGGCCTTGTGATTTGGGGGGAATTTGAATTAGGTTTTCTTTTGGGTATCCGTACATTCTGATTTTTGTTCCCCAATCACGAATTATGGAATGTCCTTAACACAACAAGGGCAGTGCACGATTCCATTTGTATAAACCGCAAGAGTAATCCATCGGGTTAGAAGTCAGGGTGATGGGGTCATGACCGGAAGGGGACAATGATAATGTTATGTAACAACTACCCACAAAACCTCAGGGGGATGCAAGAGACCTTTGTTTACTTTGAGTTTGCAGAGGCCAGTTTTCCTGGGCTTGGCTCAGGTCAGTCACGCAGCCCCGCGGGACTGGCGTGCCCTCTCTCACCCAGGTGGGGCGGCTGCCTGTTGCCTAATGCAGCCTGAAACTTCTGAGACTATCGCACATCATTAATCTTCCAACATGCTAGCCCGGGCGTGTTCTCCAGGCAGTGGTCCTGAAAAAGCAGATCTCTGCGTGTGTCACTTTCACTAATGTTCTGCTGGGAAAAGCTAGTCACATGGTTGAGGCCAGGATCCAAGGGTGGGGAAGAATGCCCTAGACGGCCAGTGATGGGGGTGGGGGCACAGTCCGGTTACTTGGATACAGGAGGAGTGAAGAACGAAGCCATTGATGTAGTAAGTCTAACACACTCAACAGCATCATCTTTAGTGGCTGCCTAATAGTTCATTGCATGGGTACCCTCATTTATTTAACTGGTTCTGTAAGGCTGAACAGTTAGATTAGCGTTTCCAAAGTATATTTCAAGGAATTGTAAATCCCTCCGGGGATTAATTGAGGTTTTGATACACACACACAAATGAAGGTTGGATCTGAAAATAAATTTTGTAAGCCTTGGATTAGATGAAGAAGAATCAATTTCTTTACTGTAGGACTTATCAGAACCTTTACACACAAATGTGCATCATGAACTTGCAGAAATCTAAGGGGTTGCTCAAACTTAGCGACCTTTTTTTTTTCAAGAAGCACCTCTTGTGACAAGCATTCTGTGGTTCTCACTCTGGGCTTTGTGCAGTTGTGTCGTGTTTCACAATTTTAAACAGAGCTCCTGTGAACTGGAGGGCTCATCGTTGGCCAGGTTAGGGTTGTATCTGGAGTAAGTTGAGCTCTAAAAGCTGCACCCAGAGTGACGGGCCGGAATGGTGTGTCAGCACTCACCAGCTCACTTTTTCTCAGCAGGCACCACAGGATCTCCCAATGGGGTGGCTTAGTTCTGGGCTCACGTTCCCCGTGAGCTGCCTGATCCTGGCGTGGGCGGCAGGCTCTGGTAAGTCACCCCCTCTCACCCATTTCCTCCTTCCCTCATTCTGCAACCCAACCTTAATTGACTGTTTACACACCAGACTCCCGGGATCATCAGAGAACCAAGCAAAGATCCCTGGCCTCGAAGAGATTACATGATAATTAGTGGGAGAGGACAGCCAGTAACAAGTGGTCCTAATATTAAGGAAATTCTAAAGGTCCTGAGAAGGTGATGGCAAAAGATGAAATAGAACAGAGTGGGGAGGATTAGGAAAGCTGGGTGGAATAGGAGGACGGCAATTAAAAGTACGTGCTCAGGGAAGTCCTCATCAAGTCACAAGTGAGCGAAGATGTGAAGGATGCGGGGAGCCAGGCAGATATTCGAGGGAGGAGTTTTCTCAGTGGAGACCCTGAGCCCAGAGCCTGCCTGAATGTTGGAGGGACCAGAGGAGACACGAGGGGGTGAGATGCGGCAGGAGGAGGGAAGAGATGGAGATGGCAAAGTACCAGGAGGACCAAGCCAAGAGTCTGAGCACGATCTGTGACACTACAAAGGATCCCTCTGGCTGTAGCACAGGGGCAGAAGCTGGGGGTGTGGAGGGGCTCAGGGAGGAGGTGCCACATTAAGCCAGGGGGCCTGGGACCCACAGAGGAGATGAGAAGGAACTGGTTTTTGGATCTGTCTGGAAGGTGGATTTGAAGACAGAGTGGAACTGAGGTGAGGGAGAGAGAGGTGGCAAGGCTGACCCCGATATTTCTGACCTGAGCTGCTGGCAAGAACACAAATATCGTTTCTGAGATGCAGAGGAACATGTGTTTTTGGCGGGTGGGGAATCAGGAGGTAGTTTTGGACATGAGGTGAGTCTGAGATATTTATAAGACATCTAAGAGCCTCCTTAATATGGTAAGTCGTTTATCCAGGGAACAAGTGCAAATTGCTGTGAGCTGTGTGGGGCCTGGTGCTGAGCACGGAGCGGGAAGGCATCTGCCGGTCAGGTGCAGGCTGTCTAGGGCTAGGGCCATGGCTCCCAGACCAGGCAGCAAACCCAGTGTACATCTGGCTGGGTTCAGATCCCGGCTCTGCCCCTGGCTCGCTGGAAGAAGTTCTAAGCCTCTCATCCTGCCCTTCAATATTGGGCAAAGCCAGGGGACAAGAGCACCTGGTGACAGGGCCATGGGGGTCACCCTCCTGAGCACAGAGAGGGATGGAGAATCGATGGGGGCAGGGAGGGGTCGGTGGAAGACAGTGCCTCCCCCAGCTCACGCCATGGGGGGAGGTAGCTGAGTTTACATACGATAAAGGTGCATTTGCTCTGTCCCCGCTGATGGACCCTGTCCCAAGGGAATTGCTTCAAGGGCAGGAATCACCGCAGTGCCAGCTGGGAAGCTCCCGGAGCCCCAGTCCCAGCCCCCTGCTCTCTGAGGACTGTGCCTGGGACTGTGGCTTCGTTCTTTTGTGATGGGCTCCTTGGTCCTGTTTGGGCTGGTTTCTGACCCCTCCCTTTAGACATCAGGCTTCATCTGCTCAGAAGGCTCCCGTGTCTCCCCAGGGAGTGTTAAGATGCGCCAGGGGCCCACCTGCCTGACCGACTACATCAGCACCTCCACCTGTGAGTGGGAGATGGCCGGGCCCACCAACTGCAGCGCCGAGCTCCGCCTGACCTACCAGCTGAATTTTATCTTCTCTGAGTAAGCCGGTGCTGGAGCTGGGAGTTTGGGGAGGTTTGCCCCGGAGTTTGCCTGGTCCGGGTGGTGCCTTGGAGCGCGGGGTGCTAAGCAGTTCTCTGGGCTTACTGGGCATGAGAGGTGAGGAGCCCTGGGTCGCAGCGTGTGTCAGACCAGCGCATGTGTCCCAGGGTTCCCAGTGCATTGTCACCGAGGCATGTGGCACGTGCTTATGGGTGGAATTCTGGACTAGGCCAGTGGCTCTCAAACTTCAGGACTCTTTTATTTTTGGCAGGGGGAGGTAATTAGGTTTATTTATTTATTTTTAGAGGAGGTGTCAGGAATTGAACCCAGGACCTTGTACATGCTAAGCATGCACTCTACCACTTGAGCTATACCATCCCCGCTTGGGTCTCAGGACCCCAAAAGCTTTAGGCTGGGTAGCTTCTATCGATCCGTGTTTACCCTGTTGGAAATTAAAACAGAAACTTGAAATCACAGCAGCACACAAGTCCACATTTCAAGAGACCATCAGAGCAATGATGTCATCACACATCATGTAGCCTCTGAAAAAGTCCACTGTACGCTTGTGAGAGAAAGAGGGTGAAAATGGCGACCAGTGTCTGAGGATTGTTATGAAAGCAGTTTGACCCAGTGGAACCGCAGACCACAGGTTGAGAACCCCTGGGCTAGACTGTTGTTTTGGGGTCTGGAGTTAGCGGTGGAGTTGGCTGTGTTAGCTGGCGGACCGTGGAACTTGGGATACGTGTTTCCATTTACTAAGGTGGATGAGCTGTGCTTCTGTATGTGGTATATTAGCCTAGACCAGGGAGCTGCACACTGGCCCATGGGTCACATCTGGCCCACCGCCTGTTTTTGTAAATAAAGTTTTATTGACATACAGCCATGCCCATTTGTTTGCGTCTTATGGCAGGGGCTTCTGTGCTGTATCAGCAGAGTCGTGTAGTTGGGACAGAAAGGGGATGGCCCTCAAAGCCCAAAATATTTACTATCTGGCCCATTACAGAAAATGTTTGCCGACCTCTGGCCCAGCCTGTGGGTTAGGCTGGGGGATACAGGGAATATGCCTGCCAAGGTATGTATGCTGGGCTAAACTGTGTTACCAGGGGTGTGCTGAGACACACATATGTTGTTACAAGTTCTTTCATGCCGTGGGTTCTTCTTTGTCACTGGCTTTCAGGGTCCAAGGCTGGGGCTGGGGGCAGATAAGAGTCCATGGCGGGTGTGGTAAGGGGCTGAGGCCTGCAGGAAGATGGTCCCAGGCCAGTGTCCCCTCTACATCCTGGCCGCTCTGCTCCCAAGTCCCCAGATCTGGTCCTTAAGGCGGGGTGACCAGGAAGCTGAAAGAGCTCGTGGTCCCTTGAGGCATGTCCCAAGTACAGGGGCGGGTAATACCTGTGAGTCCTATGACCAGCCTAATGCAACATCTGTGTCTGCAGAAACCACACATGTGTCCCCGAGAACAGAGACAGCACGGTGTGCGCGTGTGATATGCTGATGGATAGTGTGGTCAGTGAGGACACCTATCAGCTGGACCTGTGGGCAGGGAAGCAGCTGCTGTGGACTGCCTCCTTCAAGCCCAGCGAGCACGGTGAGCAGGGCAGGGTGGGGCTGCAGGTGTTCCCGCAGCAGCCCGGCTCCGGGACAGGGGAGGCAGGCTCTGTGTGGGAGAGGGGCGCTCCAAGCAGCCTCCTCCCTTTTCCCAGACCTGATGGGGTTCTGGCCTCTTTCTGGGCCTCAGTCCTCCCATCTTTGAAATGGAGTTGAGCTCAGCAGTACATCAGGCCCCCTTCTGTTCAGATATTTCAACCCCTGAATTTAAGAGCCCAGATCGGGGTGTTGAATGAGATGTGTTTGGGGGAAGGCATGCTTGCTGCAGATCAAAAGCTGAACTAGGAACCATCTTCCACCCTGTCACCTGGTCAGCTGCTGCTTCTTCAGTCTGGACTGTGAAAGGCTGACCTTATCACCCTGGTACCCAGAGTTCCTGCAGGAAGTCCTCAAGAGCTTGCTGGGGTGTAGTGACAGGAGTTTAAAACACCACTTATTGCTCTGTGACCTTGGGCAAGTCACATTACCTCTCTGAGCCTTAGTTTCCAGAAGAGAGTTGTTATCTCTGCTTTACAGTTGAGTAAACTGTGGTTCAGAGAAGGCAAGTAACCTGCCTAAGTTCACACAGCTACTAAAGCCGCAGAGACAGTACCTCACAGAGCTCAGTCTTCACGCTCCATCAGCAATTCCTGAGCAACCTACTCATCTGCTGGGGGTCCGGGAATGATTTAAACCAACCCATGGACAAACCCATGAATTAAATAATTTGTACATGTGTATGTTGATTTTAAGGGACATTATATACCTGTGGTCTCATGGATTCAGTGCTTAAAAAGAGACTTAAGTTTTAAAGCACATGAATCGAAATAAAGAAAAATACTTAGTAAATAATAATATAGTACACAGAGGTGGCCAAAAGTGTGGAGGATGAAAGTGGAAAAGCCAACATTTGGATGACTTGGCTCAGACGTTTTTGCATTCACTGCAGAAAGGTAGTGAATAACCACTAAAGTGCCAGGTAGGATTTTAGCAACATCACAATCCATATTACTGTAGTAATTCTCTGTCGTAACTAAATCTGTGTGGTGTCCCATCAACGGAGGTGTTATTGACTAAAAATCTGAATGGTCTGCGGGCCGGGCGGAGCCAGGCATCCTCCTGATGCCCGGGCCAGCCCCTCACCAGGCTCTGCTCCTCTGCAGTGAAACCCCGGGCACCCGGAAACCTCACAGTTCACGCCAACGTCTCCCACACGTGGCTGCTGACGTGGAGCAACCCGTATCCTCCTGAGAGTCACCTGTACTCTGAGATCACCTACCTGGTCAACGTCTCCAATGAGAATGACCCCAAGGATGTGAGTGGGCACCCTGTGGGGTTTCTCCATGACCTCCTGGGACTCGGGTCTGGGGTGGGAGATGGGGAGGACAGCCTTGGGCTGGACAGCAAACCCTGAGGACCCAGGCCCCTGGCTTTTACCCTAACTCTGTGGCAGGACCAGTCCCTCTGGGCCCCTGACTCCTGGTGTGCAGACAAGGCAGGTTATTTCCGGGCACTGCTCCTCTTCTATAAAGGAAGGGCTCTGGACCACATCTGTTTCCAATGGGGTGGGACACGGGATTTTAGGTGATCCCTCGGCAACACACTTAAATGACTGAGTCCCACAGTGAGACAGTTACTCCCCATCAGCTCCCTCTAGACCCTGACTGTCCAGGGAGACATCTCAGCTGAGCTATGGGTTTACTAATCCTTTTTAACAGAAGAGGAGGCCGCACAGCTCTGTGCCGTCCCCAGGAGAACGAGTTCAGCCATGATGTAATGCTGTTGTGTGGTTCTGATTGCATTTACTTTATGTGATGCTCATGGCATCCGATACTTGCTTTCTAGTCAGCGCAGTAGTAGCGAGGTTCCTTTTAAAATGACTGTACTGACATTTTTAAAGAGGGACAGCTGATTTTAAGGAAGCTATCAAGTAAATAATCGCAGGGGCTACACAATGGATGGCTTGCCCCCTGCCCTGCCCATTTTAGGTGCAGGTGGGAGTGAAGGCTGTTTCCTGCTACCCATGTTTTCCCCTCAGATATTCCCATTGCAGGGACAACATCTGAACACTGTTGTGTTCAGGGGCCCTGGTGTCCCACAGAGCCGGGTTCCAATGCCTGACCTGCCACTTGCCCACTGCATGGCCTTCAGTCTGTCACTTAACCACCTCTTGCCTCAGTTTCTCCATCTGTAACACAGCAATACACTACTACCTACTCCGTAGGGCTGCTGAGAGCAGGAAATGTGTGACACAGACAGGCTGCCCTGCCTGGCACAAAGAACGTCATAAACATCACCCTTCTTTCTTCCTGAGTACCACAGACCTCGAAATCCCGTCTGCCTCGCCCTCCCACACCATAGTCTCTAACTCGCTCTGTCAGCGTTGCTGGGGGTCTGCTGGGAGCCCTGCCTCGTGTCCTGGGACCCAGGCTGGCCTGGCCTCAGCTGCCAGGGAGCAGGGCCCAGACACCTTAAGCTGTCATATCAGCTCCTGTCCCTGCATCCTCTCTTCCTGGCCAAGCTGGGGAAGTGGTGGGTGTTGATTTGCATCCCTGGGGTGTGGTTTTCCCCTTGGGCACAGGACCAGGATGTGGGATGGGAGCAGGAGTGGGGCATCTGGGCTCCCACAGCAGAGGCTCAGTGCAGCCTGGGAAGGGGCTTGCACAGATGCCAAGGAAAGAGGCAGGTTCTGTTTGGTCAGTGAATCCCTTTCCCTTTCCTGGGCCCATGCAGGCTTAGCCCAGGGGCCAGGCTAGAGGGAGAGAAGGGTACAATCTATAGGGTTCGAAGAAATGCCATTCATTTGCTTATCTTGGCTGAATCCAGGTTCAAGGAATCTCCATCTCTTGGCCTTGCTTTACTCTGTGTTGGTTTCATTTTTAGGCAGGCTGTTCCCTAAAGTCGGGGCCAATACGCCCCTTAGCAGCTCCAGGCCTGCATCTTTAAGCCACAGTGGGAAAAGGTCTTCTTTCCAGATAATCCCAACAAAATGATCTTGCGGGCAATGATCAGCTGCCTGGCTGGGATCACATGCCAATCTTGAACCTATCACAAGCAGGGGTGGGGGGCAGGAGAGAGGGTGCTGGCCTCATTGGCCAGAGGCAAGTCAGTGCCCACTTCTGGAGCTGCGGGTGGGATCAGCTCCACCCATACCAGAAGGGCTGAGAATGAGGGAGGGGTGGTTCCCCAGAGGAAGTTCTGGAGAAGAGGAAACAGGGGCTGGGCTGCCTGAGACACAGCTGGGGTTAGGACCTGGCATCAGACTCCAGCCAGTAGATAGAATTGATCAGTGTGCCCAGGCTACGGCTTAGCGGTCACACAGGTGTTCAGGGCTGCCCTGGGCCTCAGAATTCCAGGTCTGGCTTCTCTTGCTGGTGGGGGAGAGGCTACTGAGATACCCTCTCCCAACCCTCCTTCTCAAGGACAGAACTGAGCCTGAAGAATTCCCCTCATTAGTCACAGGCCAGAGATGATCACATGCTCCTCTCTAACCAGTCGCAGGCTGGGGATGGAATAGCCACGACTGGTTTAAACCAATGAGGATTGGAGCTGGAGACAGAAACTTACCTGCCCTGAGCTTTAGGTCCCTGATCCCAGTGGTGCGGATGCTGGGTGGGTATCCCACCACGTTTGCTACAGTATTGCAGGCACCAGCTGTGGCTCAGACTGGTTGGGATCAATTCTAAGAAGGGATATTAGAAACTTGCTGTGAAATTGGGGGATGGAGCTATTCATTGTCCTAGATGACTCCTGGATAAGGTTTCGTAACAGAAGTGGAGTTTTGGCTTGGGCACTGAAGGGCGTACAGGAGTTTTCTAGCTAGGGAAGGGGAGGCCAGGCAGAGGGAGCTACACGAGCATAGGCTTAGAGGTATGAAAATTCATGGCATATCTGGGGACTGAGGGATAGGGCAGAAAGAGAGGCCACAAGCCTGTGCAGGGCCACAAATGCCGTGCTCACGATCATAATGGTTACCACCTCTTGGGAGCCTATTGTGTGCCAGGCACAGCATGTATGATCACCAGTGGCTGTGAAAGCCCCGCAGGTGGGAGGGGGTTCGTCTCTCTGTTTTAGTGGTGAGGACACTGAGGCTTGGAGAGGCGGACGTGACTCACCCAGGGTCCCATAGTTGGAAACGGCCGAGCTGCGGTTGGGAGCCAGGATTTGAACTTCAGAGCCTGTCCTGTTTCTCCTTCCCTGGATCTTTCTCTCAGAATGGTCTTCCGAACACTTAGCCTTTCAGTAAAAAAACAAACCAACCACAACTAGCTCCCTGGAAGCTCAATTTCTTTTGTGTTTCTTAGTAAAAGGGTTTCCCAGTTCCCCGCCCCTCTCCGGGGTCTATGATTCCTTCCGTGGACTAGATCGAGCTGCTGTTTCCTGTTTTCTGAGATTTAGAAGAAAAGGAACACTGACAGTGAGAATGTCTTTCTCTCCCTGCCCTGGTCTCCTCCGGCCACTCCCAACACACCCCAGCTCCACTGGAAAGTTCCAGCTGCCTCCAGTTTCTCCAGCAACCTGTTGGGACTTTGTTTCCTCATTGTGCAAAACCTCCCGTCAGCTCACTTTACACCAGACCATTTCCCCCAAAGGCTTCCAACCTGCCAGTGCTGCCAGGAGCTGGGAAGGGGCTGCAGGGACCCAAGGAACAGGGGGAGCTCTTAAAACACTGTAGGGGCAGCTGAGAGCAGCAGCCAGGGTGGGAGCCGGGATTCCCCTCCCCCCATGCCGGTGCACTAACACCTCCCTTTTTTTCTATCAGTTCAAAATCTATAACGTGACCTACTTGGGGCCCACCCTCCGCATTGCAGCCAGCACCCTAAAGTCTGGAGCTTCCTACAGTGCACGGGTGAAGGCCTGGGCTCAGAGCTACAACAGCAGCTGGAGCGAGTGGAGTCCCAGCGCCACGTGGCTTAACTGTGAGTATCTGCTCAGAGTCCTGAGCAGTTAAAACCTCTCCTCTCCACGTTTACTCTGTGGCCAGACACCTGGGTTTCCATATTACAGGATTGCCTCTCACTGCAGTAACAAAATTACGGACTGACATCATGTACTGGTCAGGGTAGAAACGGTAGGCTACAGTAACAAATGAGCCCACAGTTCTGTGGCTCAACACCATAGACGTGTATTTCTTGCTCCAGTGTGAACTTTGCTGATTTGTGGGTGGTCTTCCTCCCTGTGGTTCCATCATTCTGTAGGACAAAGATTCTTAAGCTTTCTTTATCATGGATCCCTTTGGCAGTCCGGTGAAGCCTGTGGACCTCATCTCAGTGTAATATTTTTAAACGTACAAAAGAAAAGGCATAGGATTACAAGGGAAACCTAATTTTACTTAAATGTGAATATAAAGAGATTCTGAAATACATTTGTTATCTAGGAATATATGCTTTGTGAATTACACATTAACAACAAGATCCAGTGGTAGTTCTCACAAAGACCGTAATTTCACAGTAGATGAGCATAAATGGTATTTCGTGATACTGCAGCTGTAACGTGAGACAAGAAGAGCTGGGATTTCTGTCGGGGCCTGAGTGATGCTGCTGTTACTGTGGCTTGCTCCCTCCATTCCTCATGGGAGGAAATGCCAGGCTTCAGAAGTTAGCAAAAATAAAGGTATCATTTCTTTCCCATCCAAGTTCCCAGAGCCCTGAATTCTAACTGCAACCATGTTGGGGGTCTATGAACCCTAAGTTAAGAATCCCTGCTCTAGGGCCCTGCTGTCATCTGCATCCAGCCAGCAGGAGGGGAATGAGAGCAGGGAGACCACACCTGCTTCTTAAAAGCCTTAGCCCGGAAGTGATGCCACCATCTCCTCTCAAATTCTATTGGTGGAACTGGTCACATGGCCATGCGTAGCTGCAAGGGATTCTAGGAAACACAGTCCTTCACTTGATAGCTGTGTCCCCAGAACAAATCTTGGCAACTTTATCACACATGGCTTTTTCCATAGAGATATTGAATTATCTCACATAAAATGAAGTCTTACCAGTGGACCATCCCAGGTTCATACAGCCGCTTGGTGATGTCATCTAGTCTTGTCTTCTTTCCCACTGCCATCCCTAGCATGGTAGTATTTTATTCTTGTGCTTATTGCCTCATGCCCCCAATGTTGTCTACTGCCCAGATCCTCATGCCCAAGGCCCAAAGCAACTGAAAGTCTGCCACAAGGAGTGTACCCCGTGCAGCTATCTCTTTCATCAGGGAGCAGAAATCTTTCTAGAAGCTTCCCTGGCAGACTTTCCCTTGCATCTCATCAGCCAGGACTGTCACAGGGCCTCTCCCAACTGCACAGGAGTCTGGGAACTCAAATGTCTGGAAAGGGGGCCAGGGTAGTCTTGATGGGCCCAAACCTCAGGCTGGGCACTCTGCTGCCTGGCAAAGAAAAGGTGATAGATAGCTGTTGGGTGGAGGAGGCTGCCCTAGGCATCATCTATCCGATGGGGAGAAAGAGGGCTGTTGTGACCATTCAACGAAAGAAGGATTCTTCAAAGTGCTGGGCACAGTGGCGATTGGCAGTACCACACCCCAGCCAATCGCACGTCCCTCTCAGCGCTGCTCAGCCTGTTCCATGGATACCCCTTGACCGTCTGTCTCACTCCGGTCCGCGAGCTCTGTGGGTGGTATCTGCTCCGGGTCTGTGTCTCCAGTGCCCAGCACATCGCCAGGCACACAGTAGGTGCTTGGGAAAGTTTTGTCAAATTGATTCAATTCTTCCTTTGGCCTGGGGAAGGGAAGGGCAGTAGCTTGTACGGAATAGATACCGTAGGTACTCACTCATTATCTCCACAAATATTTATTGAGCTCCTACTACATGCTAGATACTAGGGGATCAGTGGTGAACAGGAAAGACAAAAGCCCCTGTGCTTGTGGAAACGACATGCTGGAGGGGAGAGAGAGAAAATACACAAGCAAACAAAAATATAAATGAGCTCTAGATCGGGATGACAGTAAGTTTGGGAAGGAAATAAAGCAGGGGAAGGGAATGGGGTGATGGGAAGGGGCAACAAAAGAGAGGGGGTGAGAGGGAACTCTGGACCAGACAGCGATCAAGGAGAAGCCGCCAGCTCTGCGAATGGACGTGCAGGCGCTGCTCCGAGTGCGTCATATATTCAAGAGTACAACAGCCCTGTGAGTTAGTACTGTTATTTGCCCCATTGCACAAATGAGCAAACCATGGCACAGAGAAGGATGAGGGTCTTGTCCTGGGTCACCAGCAAGTCTGTGAGAGAGTCAGGCTTTGAACTGAGGCTTCTAGTGCCAGAGTCTCTGCACTTGACCTCTATGATTCAGGAAAGAGAAAGCAGCAAGTTCAAGATCCTGAGGTGGCACTGAGATTTGGAGGAGCAGGGGACAGCAAGGAGGCCTGTGTGGCCAGGGCTCAATGTGCAAGAGGGCGGATGGGGCAGGAGGGCGTGGCGGGGGGCAGGAGGGCGTGGCGGCGGCCAGCGCACACAGGGTCTTGGAGGACGCCTCCCCGAGGCCTCAGTCTTCAGCTCTGGGAAGTGGAGACCAGGCTGGCCTTAGCACGATGCAGGCTCACGGCTTCCCTCCCACTTCCAGACTACCAGGAGCCCTTGGAGCAGCGCCTCCCACTGGGCGTTAGCATCTCCTGCGTCATCATCCTGGCCATCTGCCTGTCCTGCTACTTCAGCATCATCAAGTGAGTCCTGGGCTTCAGCATGGGGTGCCTCCGAGCCAGCCCCCCAGAGTGCGGAACGGGCGGGAGGTCCCCCTCTGATCTGTCGGCCTGTGTCTTGGTTCAACGGTAGATATTTATTCAGCAGCTACTATGTGCAAGGCACTGAGACCGGCAGGGACCCAGTAGGTGTGCAGGGAATGCAAGGTCCCCTCTGCACATCTGTCACTGATGCCTCTGCTTTCCCTGGGCTGGTCTTCCCCCTTTTCTAAGCCTGTTTCCCCATTGCCTGTCCTCCCCACCCTAACTCACTGTGTTCCAGCTCCAAATTCCTTGCTGTTCTTTGAACACCCCAAGCAAGTTCCTCTGCCCTCTGAGCCTTGGCATTCACTGTGTTCTCTGCCTGGAAAGCCTTTTCCCCAGGCATCTTCAGGACCCCCTCCTCCTCCACTTTCAGTCTCCTCTCAGAAGTCACCTCCTTAGGGAGGCCTTCCTGGATCACACCCTCCATTCCTCTCTCTTCCCTTATTATTTTAAAATTTTTTTCTTTTTTAAAAAATTTATTTGTTGGGAGGTAATTAGATTTTATTTAAAAATATTTTTTTTAATGGAGGGACTGGGGATTGAACCCACAGCTTCATATGTGCTAAGCATGTGCTCTACCACTGAGCGATACCCTCCCCTCCCTCCATTCCCTTATCTTCTTTATTTTTGTCCCTGGCACTTATTGCCAGGAATGAATGATGTCCTATAATCATTTCTGCATCTGTTTGTCTGTCTTCGTCTTCTAGAAGGTCAGTTCTGTGAGGGCAGGGATTTTTGCCTGTCTTGTTCACTGTGTGACCCTGAGGCCTGGCACAGTGAGTGGTACACAGTAGGTGCTCAATAAATATGTGTTGACTGATGGAGTGGAGTGGGCGGCGGCTAATCCAGAGCAGGACATTCCCTCCCAGCCCTGACACTGTGACTCCAGGCCGACCCAGGGAGGGAGAAGGAATTCTCCAGGCTCTCTGGCCATCCTAGGCCTCTCCCTGGCACCTTGTTCTCAGCTGCTCCAGAGCAGAGTTTGTTGAAGGGGAAACTCAGAATCCTCTCTCTGCAGCTTGAATCTCTCCTAATCCCCTAGGACTCATCCCCCTGGGGCAGAGGCGGCCATGGCAGGAACTCCACCCTGAGTAGCAGAATGCTGGTGCTCAAACCCGGCTCTTCTGCTCACCAGCTGTCACTTCACCTCCCTGGGCCTCAGTCTTCTCATCTGTAGAGTGGGGTCAGCAGTGGAACCTGTTTCATGGGGTTAGAGTGAGACATCCAAAAACCTACCATTGTGACTCCTGATAAGTTTTGGCAACTGTGATCTTTTTTTATGGGAGAAACATCAACCTGTTAGTGATTCAGGGACCAATACCTCATCCTTTTCTTTTTCAGGATTAAGAAGGAATGGTGGGACCAAATTCCCAACCCAGCTCACAGCCCCCTGGTGGCCATCGTCATCCAGGATTCTCAGGTAGGAGAACAGGCTGGGGAGGATGCTTCAGACTGCGTGTACCAGGAAGTAGGATTCAAGATGTCTGGGAAGATAAGGATATTCGGGGGCTTTTGGTGTTGCCCGTGGGAAGTCAAGAAGGTTTCAGTAGCTTCATGTGGTCATTAGGAGCCCAGAGGCTTTCACTTCCCTCTCCTTGGCTTCCATGACAGTTCTTTCAGCCTGTGGTGGGTTCTTCTGGGGTTGGTCTCTTGGTTTTTTCCCCCTCCTTTGGGAGATGATCCCTGAGGTCACCTGCATGTCATCTCCTGGGGAGGCAACTGTACCAGGGTAGGGGGCCAAAAGGAGAGGAGGAGGGGGACAGGCTTCCTGTGTCTTCCTCTTAAGAGCAGGAAACTGCCCCCAAAGCACCAGTCTATCTCTCAATTCTCATTGGCTTGACTTATATCACAGCCTCTTTCCTAAACCACTCACCTATAAGGGAGTGAGAATAGTTGAGATCAACCAGGTGGCCACCCCTGGGCTAGCTTCCCCAATGTGATGGCCACATGGGGTTTGTCTGAGCACTATCAGTGTTCTCTAGGAAGGAGGGAGGGGGATAAAGGTCCTGTCTAGAACAGAATGTCCAAGTGTCCTCAATTCTCCAGGGACCCTGGGGCAGGCTCTGGAGTCCATTGGTGCTGGCTTTGAACACTGGCTCTGCCACTTACCTGTAGTGTAGAGTTAACAAGTTGCTTAACTTCTCTGAGCCTCAGTTTCCTCCTGTGGGTTGTGACAGTGGTTACCTAATGGGGCTGATGTTTGCAATTCACAGAGGCAGTACATGTGAAGTGTATATTACAGCATCCTGCATGTAGTAAGTGTTTTATGTATCAGTTAGCTTTTGCTGTGTAACAAATCATCCCCGTTATTTAGAGCGATAAACAATAGCTCTTGCTTCTGCACGTGTGCAGTTGGGCTTAGCTCAGCCATAGGGGTAGAGGAATCCTACACCAGGCTTGGGTGCAGATCTTGGCTGGGCCTGTACCAGTGGCCTCACTCACAAGTCTGGCAGTTGGCTAACTCTCACCTGTGGCCAGGGAGGTTACTAAACCATATATGTGTCTCTGGTCCTCCAGCAGGCTGACCCAGTTGGCACAGTGTGTCACTTCTACTACATTCTATTGGTCAAAACAAGTCACATGGCTAAGCCAGATTCAAGGGATGAAAGGAGCTTCAGGGAATTGTGGCCATTTTTGCCATCAGCCACAGCAACATATTAGGGCAGTCTCATTCATTCTTAGGAAACTGAGGCTCAGAGAGTGGAAGTGACCTGATCAGACCTCAGACTTACATGATGTCAAGACTCACAGTCTTTTCACAGGAAACCTGTGCTGAGCATCCCTGGATGCCAGGCTGGGCAGGAAGCCCTCGCTGCTCTGTTTCATTGACTGTCTCTATGTTTTAGGTGTCACTGTGGGGGAAGCGGTCCCGAGTCCAGGAACCAGCCAAGTGCCCGTATGTATACAAACTTAGGTCATAGCCTCCCTGGATTTGGAAGGGGGTGGAATTGGGGTGGTGGGCCCCATCTGGAGAATGGGGTCACACCCACAACATGTCTGTTTTCTCTTCCTTGGTGTTCATCACATGGCCTGTGACACTGGGCTCTGAGGGGTGGCAGGGGAAGGAGTGGTCTGGGTAGGTTGGCTGCTGGCTTAGCCACCTGAGTTCAACTTGGGGGTCAGGCACATGCTGAACCCCTTTGGGATGCCCAGTCTTTCCTGAGCAAGGCTGATGGAGGTAACAACCAGGGCAGCTGTACCAGTTGTTAAACTGTTGACATAGTGGTATACTGGCTGGCAAATGCCACTGTCCTGAACCCCTGGGCATGTCACCATCTCCCTGGCCCTCATAGTCTCTCTCTCAGGGCCTCCCAGACCTACCCATAATCCAGCAAGCAAAGGTACCCGCAATCTAGCACAGCAGGGGACTCCAGGGTGCTGCCGCAGCCCTAGGACTCTCCAGCCATTCTAACTGGTCATGACTTACGCTGTGGTATTAATAAGTATTTTAAATATCATCATCCCTGACACTTTTCCTTATTCAATATATTATATGCCAGGCTCCAGAAATCCCAAAGACACAGGCTCTGCCTTCAAGGCGTTCCCAATCTAGTAGTAAGGGTAGACTAACAGGTTATTGATTATAACGTCTGGAGGCATATTTGCAATAGACTGACATCAGGCTGGGCTTTGAAGGATGAATAGGAGTTTTTCAAGTGGAGAAACTGATCCCTGATCAAACTTTGCTTTTGCAGGCACTGGAAGACTTGTCTTACCAAGCTCTTGCCCTGTTTCCTAGAGCATGGCATGGAAAAGGATGAGGATTCCTCTAAGGCTGCCAGAAATGGGCTTTCCCAGGGTCCTAGAAAATCAGCCTGGCACCCTGTAGAGGTCAGCAAGACCATCCTCTGGCCAGAGAGCATCAGTGTGGTGCGCTGCGTGGAGCTGTTTGAGGCCCCAGTGGAGAATGAGGAGGAGGAAGTAGAGGAAGATAAAGGGAGCTTCTGCCCATCGCCTGAGAGCAGTGGGGGCAGTTTCCAGGAGGGCAGGGAGGGCATTGCAGCCCGGCTGACAGAGAGCCTGTTCCTGGACCTTCTCGGGGGTGAAAATGGGGGCCTTAGCCCGCAGGGCTTGGAGGAGTCCTGCCTTCTTCCAACTTCAGAAGATGCAACTACTCAGATGCCTTGGGCCGAGTTCCCAAGTGTAGGGCCCCAGAAGGCATCGTCAAGTCCTCCAGCCACTCTGACTCAGATCCCATCCAGCCTGGCTTTCCCCGAGATGCCCGCTGTCATCGCCAACAACCCCGCTTACCGCAGCTTTAGCACCTGCCTGAACCAGTCCTCTGGCTCTGAAGAGTGTGACTCAGACCCACAGCCAGCTGAGCGCTGGGGGAACGTGGAGCCTGGCACCCCCGCCGCCTCCCAGCTCTCTGAGCCACTCGCTGCACTCCAGGCTGATCCAGAAACCTGGGAGGAGATCCTACGTCAGAGTGTCCTCCAGCACAGGACGGCCCCGGCCGCCGCCTCGGCCCCCGGCAGTGGCTATCGGGAGTTTGTGCGCGCGGTGAGGGAGGGCAATGCCCAGGACAGTGGGGTGGCGGGCCTTGGCCCTTCTGAGGAAGCTGGGTACAAGGCCTTCTCCAGCCTGCTCACTGGCAGTGCCATCTGCCCAGGGACATCTGGGGTGGAGCCTGGCAGTGGGCAAGGGGGCTACAAGCCCTTCCGGAGCCTCACTCCTGGCTGCCCCGGGACCCCTGCTGCAGCCCCCATCCCCTCGTTCACCTTTGGACTGGACGTGGAGCCCCCCCACAGCCCTCAGGACTTGCTCTTCCCAGGCCGCTCCGCAGAGTGTCCTAGTTTGGAGCCAGTGGTGAAGGGAGAAGACGGCCAGAAGCCCCTGCACTCCCCGGAGCAGGCCCCAGACCCCCTCAGGGACGAAAACGACCTGGGCAGCGGCATTGTCTACTCAGCCCTCACCTGCCACCTGTGCGGCCACCTGAAGCAGTGCCACGGCCAGGAGGAGCGTGGCAAGACCCACGTCATGGCCAGCCCCTGCTGTGGCTGCTGTTGTGGAGACAGGTCCTCACCCCTAGTGAGCCCCCTGAGGTCCCCGGACTCCCTGCCTGGGGGGGTTCCACCGGAGACCAGCCTCTGTCTGGCCTCCCTAGCCCTCTTGGGTGTCTCAGAGGAGGGTAAGTTTCCCCTGTCCTTCCAGACTGCCCCCAGCAACGCTCAGAGCTCCAGCCAGCCCCCTGCAGCGGTGGCTGTGCTCTCCCCAGGGCCCACGTGCACGGACGCTTCCTAGGTGTGTGCCCTCTTGCTGAAGTCTACAGGTGAGGACTGGGTCTTACCCAGGCCCGTGAAACGCCTCCCCCGGGAAGTCAGCCAGGCTGGCAGAGTTCCGAAAGACTCGGAGAACCCTGGGATGAAGTTGTGAAGCTGTCCAACACCGGACAGAGATTACAGACTGGACACCCCTAGCTCCGAACATTGGCCCGGCCTCGCCACGTCCCCTGGGAGTGAGGGTGCCAGGCAGCTCTGCCCACAGCAGGCACCTGCAGGGATCAGATGGTTCCTGGGGACCTTGGTTTGTGAACGAGCCGTCGGCCATTTCATCAGTCCACAGCTGCTCCAGTGGACTATCCCTGTCGAGCCTGCTCAAAGCGTGTTTTGTCCACCAAATCTCTCTGTTGCCCATGCCTTGCCCAGTCCTGAGATTGGCTGCTGCCATGTCATGGATTAGATGCTGAGCTTGGAAACTTAACCAAGCCAGTGGGAGAATGACTTGGGAGGCCTTGGGAAATTGATGTCCAGAAAGGGTAGTCATTTGCCCATTCATTTAACAGAGCTTCATGATGTCAAGGCACTGGGGGCAGAGTCTGAGCTGTGGAGAGGTGCTTAGTTGAGTGGGGTAACAGAGGACATGAAAAATTGTGATTAACCAAGCAGTGACAATTTCCCACCCAGCTGTAAGGCCAGGGGCTCCTGTTAAGCACTGGATCCCCAGAATAAGTATGCAAAGCGACCTTGGGGCTCGCATGTGCCCCTGTGGATGCTGTTGCTGGCATCGGTGGTACAGAGGGAGGAGCTGACATCCCCTGATCCAGCGAGCTGGGCGTTCCAGGTGCTGACATCAGACACATCACTTGCACATCTGTCCAGACCCCAAGTTGAGAAATGCTTGTTTGTGTGCACTTCAGAGATTGTTTCATTACCTGGTATTTGCGTTTGCCTAGGAGGGAGGAACGGGAGAGGATGGAGTTTTGTAGAAATAAAAGTTCTTTATCTCCTTTTTTCTTTCTTTCATTAAACAAACACCCTGCCAGGCACTGTTGTGAGCACTTTATCTCTGTTAACTCATTGAATTCTCCCAGCCAAAGGAACCGAGATCCAAGAGATTAAATAACATGTTATCTCTTCTTGGGTTTCCCTGAGACCGGGACTCAAGTGCAGTTTGTGGATATAGGAGGCGATCCCAGGAAACTCTGCGTGGAGAGTGGGGAAGGGAGGCTGAGAAGGGCAGGAGGCACACGAGGAAGACAGCACACAGAGTAACCGATACTTCACCCTGCTGAGGAGCTTTGGAAAGGCACGCCCAGCGCATGCCTTGAGGTGGGAAGCGGGGCTACTTGTCTACCAGCTCCCAGCTGTCATTGGTTGAGGACTGCTTTCAGGGGTGTTAATTCCCCAACACTTCAGCTGCTCCAGGAAAAAAGTCCTCAGACTGAGAGTGAGGGGTGTTTGAGCAGTTCTCAGTGCACGGAGATGTGGATGGGGCTGGGACGACAGCTGCTACTTTGCCAAGGTCACACACCTAGTGGCAGACCCAAGACCGAGTTCAGGCAGTGTCTCTGGTGCCCAGGCTCTCTGTGGGTGATCTGTGCTTGACATCCAGGTGGACGGTGTATAGAATGGACCTCAGACAGGCAGGCAGGGGATCTTAAGCTCCTTTGTGATCACTGTGTGTCTCTGGGTAGCTGCCCCGAATGCCATGCTTGCAAAATGAGGGGCTCGGCTCATTTGAGGTTCCTTCCTGCTCTGATATTCTGTGTAATGCACTAGAGGTGATGGGAGCTCACCACCTCACAAGCAGCCTGACGTTTGTGAGAAGTGCCTCCTTTGTGCAGAGCCCAAATCTATCCCTTCCGCTGCCTGAGTCACCACCGCACGCACCTGGTTTACCAATGGGGAAGCTTAGCTCTGGAGAGGAAAAGGGACTTGCCCAAGGTCACGCGGTGAGTGGCAGATCCTGAACTAGCCCTCTGAACCTTTTGCCTTCAAGAGCTTTTTATGATGAAATATAATAATTTAAAATAAAAATAACCATTTAGAACAAAGCACTACATTGTGATATTCATCGACTATGTCACAGCTCTAGTGAGCAGGTTGAAGGGAGCAGGCCCAGAGACGTTGAGGTTTAGCTTAGGGCCACACAGCTCGGAAGTCCTGGAGTCAGGATTTGAGCCCAGGCCTGACTGCAGCGCTCCCAGCCACCATGGGGTGCTGTCTCATGCACAGCAAAGAGCCAACTCGAAAGTCAGCCCTGGTCCACTTAGCCTCAGTGTCATCTCGGAAAATCAAAATTTAAAACTAAGCAGCAAACAGAAAATACATTTGTGTGAGTGCCGGAGAGGTGGCTGGGTTGCAAGTCCAACAGAATTGAGAAGGGTCTTCAGGGTGTAAAGCCTCAGACCCCCATCTCTGCCATGTCCCCTTTATCCTCCCTGGGCCTTTGTTTCCTCTTTTGTAAAATTCGCATTGGAGGGTTGTCCTGAAGATCGTCTACGTTATCATCACCTCCTGGGTTTACTCCGACCTGGCAGGGGCACAGGTGACAAGAGTGAAAAGGTACAAACAGCTCAGAAATCTAGAATTCTCAGCCCTGGCCACTGTTCTGGGCTGCCTCCTGTGCGCGCGCAGACACACACACACACACACACACACACACACACACACAAAGTTGCCTGCCATTCAGTAAACAACAAATATTGCCCACCACCAAACACCTCTGAGGGCACACCTTGAGGGGAACTCAGGATGGAGAAAGGACACACTGGCCCTAAATGGTTACGATGTACATCAAAGGAATCATTTCAATAAGCCCAGACTCTCGCATCTTCTCATACATAGAAAACCATTAAAATCATTAGCTTGAGATGTCAGTTTTTTGTGATTAGCAGACATCTTTTGATGTTCAACTACATTTTTTGTTTCCCCTCAGCAAATACTCCTGTATATCCTGTCTCCTCCGTGACCTCTTTGGAACAGATCCTCAGAGGTATCTGAGAGGCTGTGTCCCGGGCTATATGGCTCTCAGTAATGTCCCTGAATGAAAAAACATAATTCTCAACTTTGAGGTTGTGTGTTTTTTTTGTTTGTTTTTTGTTTTCAGTAGACTCTCCAAACCTCCCTGGTAAGCCCCTGACGACTCCCGCTGCAGCTGGCTAATTCTCCCCCCAGCCCCCCATGCCATCTGGCTCATGCCTGCTCCTCTGTGGGTCAGGGCTTCCCCACACTGGCCCTGGCAAGTCCCTCCTTCATTCAAATATTTATTAATTACTCCCTGAGATCACTTGCTAAAACAAAACTAAACTTCTCAAATTATGAATGTGGATCAAACTTCTACCTTAGATTTTTAGGAAAGGAGTCAGAAAAAAAAAAAAGAGAACATTGGTTCAAAGAATAATCTTAGGAAGGGATTTTACAGCGAGACAAAGGAGGGTCTAGAATGGTGCTGTCCAACAGAACTTTTTGCTGTGACGGAAAACTTTCACTCTGTCCAATACAGCGGCACTAGCCATGTGTGGCTGTTAGGCACTTGAAACGTGGCTAGTGTGACTGAGGAACTGATTTTTTTTTTTTTAGTTTTATTGAATTAACATTTAAATTTAAATAGCCACAAGTGTCTACTGATTACAGTATTGGTCAGTACAGGGCTGGTAGATCATTTGAGTTCAACATTATAACTTTATCAGTTGCCTCAGCGTGGAGGGGAGAGGAAAGGATCCAGAAAGATGAAACTAGAGACAAGAGGAATGAGCTAAGTAAAATGTTTGCCCCAAGAGCCACGGAGGGACAGCGTCTAGCGGATCAGGTGGGCCCAATGCAGGACCACCCCCTCGCCTGAGCCGGAAGTAGGCAGCAGGTGTGGGCTGAGAGAGATGCCCGGAGCAGGAGTTTCCCGGCTCCCCCCGCGGGGCTGGACCAGATGTGCGGAGAGCAGGAGGGGTGCTCCAGGGTAGCAGAAGCACCAGAAGGGGCCACGCGTGGCTGGGGACTCGTTGGAAGACCTCAGCAGAACCCGGAAACGCTCCAGAGGCATTGATTTCGGGGCCCTCCGCCCCAACCCCACACACCCCAAGCTTTGATTTTACAAAGATTTTTCCAGGGGGTGGAGGTGGCGGGTGGTGGTTGTTTCCGCTTTATTTCTTTTTTTTTTAAACAAAAACCCTACCTATTGCTTTTTTCCTGATTACTAAATTGGCATGTGCCAGCCTTCTCCGATTCAGAGAAAACCTAAAGGTATAAATAGGAAAGTGAAAACCACCGGAAATCCCATCCCCCGCTTCAGCACCTGGCGCCGTGTGGGCGGTCCCGAAGTGCATCTTTGTTTTTGAAGGTGTATCTCCCTTAACATCCTGTTGAATAACCTTTCTGACATTATTTTCCCACGAAAGTTACTAATTTAAAAAAAACACACAAATACAAACAGCAAGAAGTTTCTGAGCCCTCACTGCAAGGGAGGTATGACCCCACTGGATCAGAACCAGAGACTTTTCCATGATGTACCCTGACTCCTAACCACTCGTCTGCCATTTGTCTAGGTTCTTATACCCCTTTACAGGTGAGAGCACTGAGACTCTGCAGTCATCCTGTCTCCGTTTGAACCTGCCGTTGCCAATTCAGACCTGTGTGACCCCGGGCAAAGTACACGGCAAGGTGAGGAGCAGATGTCTTGACGGTTGGGGGCCAGGCGGTGCCCAGCTGCTCCTGTGATTGACATGCCTGAGCTCCTTGACAGCAACCGGACAGGGCCAGTTCCTCCTCAAAATCCCCTCCTTTCCACAATGTTTATTGACAAGCTGAGGACAGCCGGCCTGCGATCAGATTGGCTGGAGGCCAGCTCCTTGGCTCCTGCTGCCCCCTAGTGGTCTACTCTGGCCCCAGCGCCTGCCTCTGCACCCAGAAAGCTAAGCGTGGGAGATCACCACTCTCCCCACCTCACCTCCTCTTCATCTCTGCCTTTCCCTCCAACCCCTCCAGCACCTGGCAGAGGGCTTGACATACATTAGGAACTCAGGGTGCTTCAAGGACCAGCTGTGTGGCTCGGGGGCCATTAGTAACCTCCCTGTGCTTCCTTCCTCTTCTGTAAAATGTACTGATGTAATAATAGTACTGACATCATGGAGCTGTCGTTGGAATTAAATATGTTAATACATGTAAGGCTTAGAACGGTGCCTGCCCATAGTTAATGCTGTCTGAGTGTTTCCTAGCATTATTATTGTATTGAATGGGTCTGTGGGTGTGGTGGGGTAGGGGTATAAAACATAATTAAAGGAAATAATAACATTCTAAATTTAATGTTACTCTATTGCAAAAAGGACAGACTGGAATAAGAGAAATCTGAGACAAAAATGGTCCCAATGGCATCACCCCACCAGCTACATTTGTGTACGGTCACATAACTTCTAGATGTGGTTCATATGTAGAGTCAGTGTTTCTATATTTGCAGAGGTTTTTATCATGCATTTCTCACCCTGTATTCATATATGATATAAAATAGGTCTTTCCAGAGAAGGAGAACAAAACAAGAGAGATCAAGATGCAGAGAGAGAAACACTAAACAAACTTCTGATCCCAGCTCCAGTTTGATACTTGACTCAAACTACAGAGTGACCTCTGACTCAAGCCATAGCCTGATTCCTGACCCATGTTATGGACCTATTCATGATCTTGGCTACACACTGACCCCAGCCACATGCTGACCCCTAGCTCTGGCCACAGAATCATCTTTGACCCCAGCCATAAACTAATCTCTGCCTCAGGCCACCCGGACCCCTCACTCCTATACACTGATACCACATTGCGTCTGGGAATTGGCATTTCCTGATTTCCAGCTAGTAAATTCAGCTCGAGTTGGTCAACATATCTGGTCTGTCTGTCCTTGCTCTCTGCTGTGGAACTGCAGAAGAAACTCTCAGTTCTCCTTTCTAATCGAAGAGAGCAGCTTTGTGGGGGAGGATATAGCTCAGGAATAGAATGTGGGCCTAGCATGCACAAGGTCCTGAGTTCAAT